TCACTGTCTCCTGGTATTTGGCCCAAAGTCACCCATCCAGATTTCATGCCTAAGTTGGAACTATAACTCATTGTCTCCTGGTTTTTGACCCAAGTCACTCATCCGGATTTCACGCCTAAGGCGGGACTAGAACTCACTATCAGCTAGTGATTGGCCCAACGTTACCCATCTGCATTTCGTGTCTAAGAAGGAACTAGAACTCACCGTCTCCTAGGGAGATCATTCACACACACACACACACACACACACACACACACACACACACACCAACGAACTGAGCCTCAGTTTACTCAGCCACATATTCTGGGTTTGCACTGATGCGCTGGCAATGAAAATGAGGACAGTGTGTCTGAATGCAGGCAGTTAAATTTTGCTGCGGGGGGGTGAAAAAAGGTTTTTCGACCCGTTTTCCTAACTCCTGGGGTTCTTCTCTGTCTCCCCCGCTTAGTCGTCAGCCCCGAATCGGAAATCTGGTTCCTGGACCGAGCCCTTTACTGGCACTTCCTCACCGAATCCTTCACAGCTTACTACCGGCTCATGATCACCCACCTGGGGCTCCCCCAGTGGCAGTACACCTTCACGGGCTACGGCCTGAGCCCCCAGGCCAAGGTGAGAGCTGCCCCTCCCTCGGAAGCCATTTTTTCTTGCACCTAGACGGAGCTGCCCGGTACAGAATGACAAGAGTTTGGAAGGGACCCCCGGAGGTGAATCGATCGGGATAGAGCCGGAAGGGACCTTGGGGGGTCTTCAGCCCCTTGCTCAAGCAGGAGACCCTTCGCCCTTTCAAACAAAGTGGCTGACTGGTCTCTTCTTGAAGACCTTCCAGGGATGAGGCGCCCACAGCTTCTGGTGGCCAGCTGTTCCACTGGTTCATTGTCCTCCCTGTTAGGAAGCTTCTCCGTAATTCCTGTCAGGGGAGACTTGGTCTGTTTTCACCCAAGCTCAGAGAGCACCAAGGACCCCCACAGTCATTGTCCTCCTCCTCCTCCTCCTCCTCCTCCTCCTCCTCCTCCTCCTCCTCCTCCTCCTCCTCCTCCTCCTCCTCCTCCCACCTCATTCCCTTCTACCACTGATGATGTTCCCTACTTGGCTTATGAAACGTCTGCAAGGAAACAACCAAGCTCAGAGAGCACCGAGGACCCCATAGTCATCTTCCTCCTCCTCCTCCTCCTCCTCCTCCCATCCTCCCCTCTACAAACCCCACTCCCTTCCAGCCCTGATGAGGTTACCTAGTTGGGTCACGAAACGTCTGCAGGAAAAACACCCGAGCTCAAGAGAGCCCCCGAGGGAGACAAATCCGCTGGGATTCCTGCGGGTCCCTTTCTCCCCCCCCTCCCCCCTGCTTCCCCCCCGCCCCCTCCCCCCTCCCCAGACCCCCTACCCTGCTGACCTCTCTTTCTCTCTCCCCCCCCTCCCCCTCCCTCTTCCAGCAATGGTTCAACATGTACAAACCCATCACGGTCAACACGGAGCAGCTGTGGGAAGCGGCCGAGGCCTCCTTCGTCAACAAGCTGGACCCCAACAAGGTTTTCCGCAGCAAAACCAAGGCCTCCCTGGTGAAGAAGAGGCTCCCGTCCCAAGCGGCCGCCGCTCAGAAGAGTCAGGCGGCAGGGGGGTCACCCCGGACCCCGTCGCAGGCCGGGAGCTTGTCAAAAAGACGAGAAACGCAGCCTTGAGCTCCCCCTGGACCCCTAAACGCCCCCCCTCCCATCCTAGCCCACCCACTAACCCTTCCAGCTCCCAGTGGTTCCTTTCCGCTTTTGCAGGACTTCGTATTTATTGCTGAATTATTTATTGACGGAGACTTGAACCTCTGGCTGGTTTTTTGGGGGGGGGGGCGGTGGGGGGGAGGGCATGCCTGCAACTCAACAAAAGGGGGGAGGATTAAGGGGGCTTTTTAAGGGGCTTTGTTCCCCCATCCTGGATTTGCACGGATTTGTTCCAACTCCCCATCATGAGGCTTCCCAAGATCACGAAACCGACTCCTTGTCCTGATAAAATCCCTTTTACTTAGGTTAAAGGGGTTTCCTCTCCAGCAAACAGTCTTTCGTGAGATTTCAACAATGTCAGACCTTTATCAGGCTTGGAGAGTTGCCAGGCCGAGAGCTTCCAAACGCCACGCTGTAGCAGCAATTACTTGGCAAGAAGTCACAAGCAAATCTTCACCCCAATTAAACGAACTAATTGTCTCCCGCAAAACCCCACTCCCCTTTCGCTCATCTTTATTCCCTATGGGAGGGGCCATTCACCGTCCAACTGAGCCTTTACTCCCGAGTTGACCCTTGTTCCTTAAGTCTTCCCTTCTCCTGGCAGCTCTGTGCATGCGCACACTGGGAACAGGCTCCAGCTGTTCTTCTTCCCCACTGATCTCCGACTCCAAAGGCAGCTGATTAACTGTCGGACAGCCCTGAACCCATCTCCGCCTCTGAGGCAGAGCCCTCATCAGAACCTTCCCCAGACTCCAGGACTGGCCCAGGTTCCTCCCCAACCTCCTCACTCACCGAGTCTATCGCCAGCTCCACAACAAGATTAGCAGGTGTTTATTAAACCAGGCAGCCCTGAACTCAACTCCTGGTAGTTTCCCTGGGTGTCGTAAAGTGGGTGGAGAAGGGATTTTCTTGGGTTACTGCGATAGGCCGAAGGGTTCTTTCGTGTGTGTGTAATATAGATAGATTAGATAGATATGGATGGATGAGAGAGAGAGAGAGAGATGGATGGGATAGATAGATAGATAGATAGATAGATAGATAGATAGATAGATAGATATGAGATAGAGCGATAGTGATAGATGAGATAGCTAGATAGCTTAATAGCTAAATATAACTAGAGACAAGAGATAGAGATATTGATAGAGATGAGAGAGCGATATAGGTGAGATAGATGGAAAGATAGATAGCTAAATAGCTAGATATAACTAGAGGATAGATAGATAGATAGATAGATAGATAGATAGATAGATAGATAGAT